TCACAGACACTTCCACTATTCATACAACCCTCACTCATTTCACAACGAGCACGGCATTGTTGCCGTGATTGTAGGGAGTGCCTGCTCTATTGGGTTTGAGAGATAACCATTTTCGGAGAAAAAAACCTGAGAGAACTAATTTCCTTTAACCTTCGTTAGTTTGGTATGTTGTTGTTCAGTATGGTAGAGATTGCTTGTCAGCTCGCTATACTCAGCTGTGGGGTTCTAGGGATGCGCCCCACAGTAGTCCTTCAGAGATACAACCTAGAAATACGTAAAGCTAACTGCAAATATTTGTACTAAAGAGAAACACTCTAAGTTATCCTAACCAGACCTCCGCATTCCATGAGAGGGACTGCGGGCTCTCCCCCACATCTCATTAGCTTACAGGGCCCGCAGCACCTAAAGTGTTATGGAATCTCATCACCCCATCGTGTGAGGGAACTTGGGTCCCTACTAGGCCCCACAATTGTGTTTTTCATCTGCGTTCGTGTTGTCATTGGGCGCACAAGACGCAGAACTGCTGGCAAAGACTAGTGCATCTACGGACGTGAGTGGGATCAAGTTCCAAGGGCCACATGATCCCTAAGGCCCCAAACTCCCCTTAGACTGGGCCTCCTTAAGGGAGGGTTCTCACAACTTTGGTGGACGACGAGGGTAACTTTAACTAGCGCATTCGGAGCATGCCGGAATTTTGGCAATAGCACTAACGGCGGATCCAAGTGTAACGTTCTGAACGATGCGCGAGATGGCCATTATACTTATAGGAAAGCAGGCGAAGATAATCGATGATTTAAAAGGGGGTGGGGTGCGTGTAAGTATATAAGGTAGAAAGTGAAAATATTCAGTGATCGGGGTTCAAGGGAGCCCGCTGATATTGCTCTTATTGTATACTCTTAGAGGAAGAAGCAGCTACGCGCTGTTAGGGCTTTGTAACTGCCAAGGGCTAACTGATGGGAGAGGCTATAAACCAATCTTCATGCTACCTACAGGACGGTGCTTGGAAAGAAAACTGATAGCTAGACCGGCACCAGACCCAATGATAATGCTGCCAACCGAAAGTGCTGCTACAACAGCAACAGCTAGCCTAGAGCGGCCTCCAGCCGAGCTCGACGGTCCACTCTTAAGGACTACACCGAGGAACCCCCCGAAGCCCGGCTACTTCGCATGCAGGAGCAGCTCCAAAAGCTAATGGAATTTACTGTGAAGATAATTGCCAGCACCTTCCACCGTTAGTTTACATCGAGCTACCGACGTGGGGTTTTGTTTCGCTTTCCACCGGACTTCAGTGGAGGGCGCCCACGGGAGTGGCTAGTGCAAATTAACCAATACTACAATGCCCTACAAATGGCGAAGAGGCAAGACCGGCTGATGTGGTCTCATTTATAACAGGAAAGGCGTTGGTACACTATTGTACAGCAAATAGAGGGGCACCAGAGCTGATGCAGATAACCTGGGAACAATTTGACGATTTCATAATGCAAAGGTTCGGCACGACGCCTGTGGTAATGAATATTCCCAAACTCAGAGGGATCGAATACAACAGCAACTTCGAAGAGGTTGTGGAAAGGTTTTCTAGTGTGCTGACGGAAGGGGGAGAGCCGCCAGAAGAGACTCTTTAAGAGTTGTTCTTGTCAAAATTCCCTTACGACATGGTAAAGAGGGTGCTGAAACATGAAATTGCTTCTTGGGTAGAGATCCAGGAGCAGATGCTGGCCGAGAGGGTCCTTGTCGCAAACCGAGCAGCGACTTGGTACGAGTATAAGACTGGCAAGTTCAGACGAGAAGTCGAGGGGCGTGGCGAGCTGATCAGAGAAGGCTGGGTGCCGAGTAGCAAACAGGGCAAGAGGCAAACGCACATCAAGGGATGGAAGTCAAAACAAACGGTGCAGCAAACCAACAAAGGGGGCACAGAAAGGCAAAGGGGTACACAGTACCAAAGGGACACTAAATAGGCCGGGGAAAGAGAAAAGGGGGCACAGGTGCAGTGCTACTCTTGCAGTGGACGTGGACATCGGGCAAGGGATTGCTCAAATAAGAAGCTAGAGTAAGAAGGCAACCGATGTTACAGGTGTGGGGGACTTGGCCATTGGGCCAGGTCGTGCCCATGAAGCGATCAGACTAAGAAAGAAACATATGTACGAGTGAAGCGAGAGCAAACAGACACACACCAGGGAAACGAGAGGGCCTAGGTAGTTTAGGGGTGAACCGACCTAGGCCAAGGATAAACGAGCAGCAGAGGGCTGAGACGCTTGGAGCTCATGGAAGCTTTGCTGCACTGAGGAGAGCATCCCACACAAAGCTGAGTCCGAAGATAGCATACGTACTAAACGATGTCGGATGTCCCAGCAAGGTGCTCAGAAAGGGAGGAAGGCACTACAGGAGGAAGAGCAGAGACAGTGTTCGATTTAACGCGGGGCACTGCACATGCAAAACGGGTTGGGTGACCCTCAGAAGAGCGCTGAGGGTGAGAAAGTGCAGGAATTTGAGGGATGGAACAGTGTGAAACTAGAGGGCTTGCCGGTAAGGGCGACAAGTTGTGACGTGGAACAGCTGCAGGCACCCAAGGGGGAGGCGCTGAGTGTTAGCTACTCGAAAGGTACACAGGTAATCTGTTCAGAGTATAGCAATCGTGGCCAGGATAGAGGCAATTGGCTGGGGGCTGAATTTGACCCAGACACGCAAGGACTTGGTAATGATATAGGACTCTTCTGGGACTTAGGCAGCAACAGGCCGAAGCAGAGGCAGCCTTTGCCTAAGTGTAGTCACCATCGCTGTGCATCCGCCTCTAATAAGGAAGAGGCCAGCAGTAATTGGAATTCTTCTGGGGTATTTTGTAGGCGTAGGTATAAGTCTAGCAAACTAAAGAACTTCTCTACGGCCTCTGCATCCCGGCGCCCATCATATCGCGTAGGACGGCACAACCGAAGGCATTCCTCTTGAATCGTTTTTGGCAAGAATTCATTTTCCCCGGGATTGGATGCCGAAATAGAGCTGGCTTCCGTTTGCTGGGGTTCCAGACCGTGCGTCGACGTGTGTGTACACCCTCACGTGTGGGGATTGGGCCCGTGCCCGCACCTGCCCCGACGAACCATGCGGTGCTACCAAGTATAACACTTGTTCTCTGGCCTTTATCTAGGTGAGAAGCAAGCTGCAATGTAGGTAAAGACTTAAAGCAAGAGTTTCCCAAAAGCAGTTGACCACCTTCCCCTGCCCTTAGGCGTCCTGGGCGTTGAGCTCAGGGCCTGGGTGTTGCGCGGGGGTGGCATCCAGAAATAGGGTTGCAGCGCTTCTCGCTGCAGCCAGAAATACAAGCCAGTCTTACACATGCACACAGGGAAGCAAAGGAAGCGAAGCTTCCGTTGCTGCATGCTTTACCTCTGAATGTACTTGCAGAACGTTTGGAAGCGTTTACACGCAACCTACCAAAGCCAAGTGAAGGTTCTGCGCTAACTCGTGCTACAGAAGGAGCAACCGGGGCAGCAAGAAGGCTACAGGAGCACCAGAGAAGCTTAACCTTTCGCGCTCGGTTAGGTTTGAGAGCTTAAAAGGTCTAGGTTTAAGATACAATGTGAAGGGCTTCCTAATAGCAAACACAACTTCGTATTCCATTGCAGATATAAACGCTGAGATATGAAAGGTTGTCTAGACTCTAGTTCGATACCCCACAAGATGACAATCCTCGAGAGAAGTTTTTAGCGTTGCATGAAGGCTGTTGCTGGTGGTCCCGGTGTTGTTAAATTCAAGGTGTTTGCGTTTGGCAGGAGTCTTTATGTTTGCATCGATGTTGTTTGGAATTGGTGATCTGTGCTCTAATCCTTCAAAAGTATCTCATTAAGCTGTTATTCCCAGACTATACGCAAATAGAAGAAAAAGTGCAGCTCCTTCTCCTCTGAAATAAGGTTGCCCTGATATTGGTTATGTCGCCATAAATTCGTCTTTCAACACAGTCTTCCAAATCAGCTGTTTACGCAGCAGCATGGGCGTTTACGGTCAGAATATGACACGCTAAGGCACGCTGCCGTAGAAAATTAAGCCCGGAAACCTACGCTGTACACTCCATTGACCGTATGCAGCAAGCATCCAGCCATAAATTCTAATTCTCAATCCCTAAACCCTACGCCGTAAAAACTCTACCATCCTAGACTAGATATTGCTAATTTCTGGCTCGGTTTGAGCAGCTGGTACTAGCCTAGCAAGAGAAAAAAATAACATGCGTAAACTGGCTCTAGGCGAGCATGAAGGTAATTTTGTTGTGTTGAGCACAAAGACTTTTCCGGTCTTGCCAGTGCATACAACAGGCTACAAATAAGTATTTTTCAATAAAGTGTCTTTCCAGTAGCCCACACCTCGCGTAAAGTACAGCAAACGTTATGCCCATTTACCTACCAATGCAAATCATCACGAGTTTCAGCAAAATGACTTCGCGCTCCTTGCTTTTGAGTCTTCATTGCCAGGCCTGGAGCCTATCAGTGCTCACTCTCGCTGTTGGCCTCTGCTTGATGAGAAGAACGCACTTACTGAGGCGAAATCAAAAGTACCAGGAGTTGTGCTCGTATAATGGTGATGCGCACAGGAACCCTTGACCGAAGTTGAAATTCAAAAATTGTCAATCGCAGGTGGAAGCCGACAAGCAAGCCTCTGTGGGAAATGTGATGGCTATCCGTAGCGGTCTGTGTAAAGGTAGAATTTGCATTATTGAGCAAGTGTACTAGAGGCACATTGTTTAACGGTCAACGTAAAATGTCTGACGTAATAAGGTTGGCGGCAGATATGTAGAGAGCCATTCAGCGTTACTACAAGCGTTGCAAATGTCATTGCATGCATCTGCCAGGGGTCTGTGGAGCAGGCTACTCTGGCAAACACTCTTTGAGGCCGTTTGAAGCCCTGGAAGCTTCAATTAATCTCAGAAACTGCCTGCTATCAGCTCACTAAGGTTTTTGGAGCAGAAGATGACACAAAACAACTGAGCTGTGGCCGCTAGATCACAATCCGCTTCTCTGCATGCCGGCTCACCAAACGACGACAAATGGTCGTTTCATTTCAGGCACAAACCAGTGCGCATCAAGAAATTAACGCCCCTATCCCTGCATACCGAATGCACGCACGAATAAGATTGAATTTCACAGGCAGACGAGCAGAGAAGCAGGCACAAAAGAGAAAAAGACAAAAACACACAGAGAACAAGAAACAGAGTCAAGGGAGACGAGCAGGCACATAATGGATGATCAAAGAAACAGATACAAAAAAGAGACGAAGGAAAAAAATGCAACACCGTCATCGAGCCAACAATTAAGCTCGAATGCAAACACAACACGTGGCCTGTTCGGTCCACAGCAAGAGCACCAAAAACACTTTCGCGACGAGACCACTCAAACACCGCTACCTATCTCGCCGCGGAACGCACAATTGGGAGAAATGCAGCGGAAACCCACGTGCTGTTGCGAATGCAACACCCCATGCCACGCTCAAGCAGTTGAAATGATCCAGTGCTCAATACAGGCTATTCTATAGGTTTCGCCAAGCGCCTTGAGAAGGGCTCACAGCTCATCGGCATCCCACATCTAGTGACCAGTAATACAACAAACTCGCACGCAAGCAAGCAACCACCACTAAAACCTCCTGCAGTGCAGGCGCTTTGCAAGCTGTGAACACATTGATAAACCAACCATGCAACGAGAAGAGGAACCTCCCCACTACTTCTGGCAAGCTGACATACGGTGATACACACACAAAAGCCACGCTACTGTCATCTCGAAAGCACGCGAAACAGGACGTGTCGCATAGGCTGTTTACTAGCAGTAGATGCACGGAACGTAGTGGCTAGTGATCACCAAGCAGATGCAGGTGCTTCCGAGGAAAGGTTCATTCTACGGCCATGCCCACCGTCCTCCGCCGACAAAGACGAACGTGAAAGCTAAAAGCGAGCACCACGCCATTCTTCGAAAGCCTTCCTTGCAGATTATCAGGCAAGAAAGGAGCTGTTTACCACCCTTTATCGTTCGCCAGCAGCGGGTCGGTGCGGAGAGAAGACCATCGCGAATTTACTGCCCAGTGAACGCAAGTCAGGAAACTTCACAAGCTCACCCTCCCAACCGAAGTGAAACGAACGAGAAGCCAACAGGCGGCGTGGAGAGGCTGCCAGAGCAGGAGGCACTCAAAGGATGCACAGAAAGTGTAACTGTGCTATAGCGAGCCTGCACTAACGGAATAAGCCCCATTCCAAAGAACTTCGACAACGTCGTACTCTGCAAACACAAAACAACTGCTAGCAGCTGATTTGCATTGCCGTATCGGGCTTGCATAGTGCTTACCGCCGAACACCCGGTTGCTGCAACTGTATGTAGAGCGGTGCGCTGTACCCCTTCGCCCCTGTATTGACACAGCGAACGAGGGCCACCGGGCTGCACAAACACTGCGGGCCTAAGCAATGTATCTTTCGTCCAATATCTTTAACCCGCGGGTTCTACTACGGCGCACTATCTACAATGGCGTCATCGCTGGTTATCACGAAGCTGCACGCTATGCGCTCTAGCCTGAGTTCGTGAACAACAAAGACTTCCCTTGGGTTGACAAACGGCTACAAGCCTACTGNGGGTTGACAAACGGCTACAAGCCTACTGAATCCCAGACATGTCGGCGCGAAGCAAGGCCATTCCCACGCCTGAAGGTTTTGGTGCCTATCCAAAGCGCGTTTGCTTCTAGCAGCCGGAATGGCATAACTAAACCCTGAGACAACCCGCAAATACGGAACACCGCAGACGGAGAACGTCGAAGTGCGCACTGCGAAGTGCCACCCAGAAATTCATGATTCACAACGCATTGTGCCACCTGACCGTTCAACAGGAGGCGACGCAGAATGGTGATTCTTGGAATCCTGCCGTACGCACATATCATTGGTTACATAGACAAATCTTTTAGTGCCCCCCAACACATTGATTGCCAACTAACAACTACGGCGTCTACAACGACACAGTCAATGCGAACGTCGAGAGCCTCCACTAACTATAGTGCACCCAAAATACGTTGCAACTCATGTCTTGCTTCATCTGCTGCGACACATCAGTCGAAACGATAAAATCCTCGCCGAATCGCGCGACACACCGCCGACGGGCCCTTCCAAAAGGGAAGCCCTGCACTCGCCAACGCCATCACGCTCAGTATCGCAAAAATACTTGCATGCAAACAACCGCCTTCTATCAGCAAATCGCACAGCCTAGTCCACACGGGTACCGCCCTTAAGACCCCAATCCCATCTGCACACGCAAACGACACGCCTTCAGAGTTGGGCGCCGTA